AATCTCACCTATTCCCAATCCCAGCAACAGGGGGAACATTTTGGAGTTCTATAATCTTTGTTGTTGCCCCAGGTGATTTGGCTGCTTATTTCAATGCCATAAATTCATACCAAAACTCCGAGGTTTAAACACCCCCCTAAAGGTATCTAAGGCTCATCGTCCTTGGTCTCTCAAGTAGATTAAAAGGGGATGTCCCCTGTGGATACCTCCAGGCCCAACTGTTCGTCCCAGCACTTTCCATCTAGGATTAGAAGTTTTTCAGCTCTAAAAGATGATGAGTTTGGTGCACAAAAGCAATTGTGAGGCTGCAGCAATATTCAGAGCAGGCAGGATGTGGTCCCTCTGCATTGTGTCTGCACAGCTATCTCATCCTGTGTTTGCATAAAACCCCCTTCTCAGCTGGCATCCCCACTCCATCCCCTCCTGCTAACTGAATAAGGATCATGGAGATGTTTCCTGAATGGGCTTTCTTGAGGCACTAATTTGATACACACAGGGCATCTTCCTGCAATGAATGTTCCTTAGGTAAGGTAATTGAAAGTGAGTTTGCATGGGTGGGTGGGGGCAATAGGCAGGACTACTGGCAGAAATCAGGGAAGGAATGGAAGAAAACCCTTTTGTTCCATACATTCAAGGTGTTGTGTCTGTTTATGCTCCCCAGCTTCTTCCTGAGCTGTGTTTTGAAGGTGGCTGCACTCTTCCTCTCCTCCTCACTTTTTTGAGGTGTTTTTTCCATTTCATCTTGTGACTCTGTTCTGCACTTTTTTAACTTTTTGCTTTTTGTTTCTTTTCTGGTTTCTTCTCCTCTGCCCCATGAAGAGCTGCATGCTGTGGGGTGCGAGTCAGAGGTCCTGAGGCTGGCTACACCTCCCTACACTGCATCCAAGGATATACCAGCTGAGTCCCTGACATTTCTCTGAAAGAGCCATATAGAAGCAAGAAGGGAAGAGGGAGAAAGAGTAGCATCATTGGGAGAAACCAGGTCAGAGGCTAAGGCAGGTAAAGATGTGGTGTGCAGGCAAGCAGGGCCCTTTTGATAAGAAATCTCCAAGATGCTGCAGATAGTTTCTCTTCAGGAATATTCCCCTTGATCACAAACCCCTGTGCTCTCATTTGGTGCTGGGAGTCAGGAAATAGTGGCAGCACGGAGCCTTTCCACTTATTTACAGCGTTTCCTTTTGCTTGCTGGGGGAGCAGAAAGGGTCGTCTAAAGGGCTTGGTTTTTTTTCTGAGCAAGTCTGATTTGCAGAGTAGAGGCAATTGCTGTTCCTATAACTTGGGAAGCACGTGGTGGGGAAAAGGTAGCTTCTTTTTCCTCGCAGATCTAGAAACCCTGGGTTGACAGAATGGCAAACAACAACCCACTGGTAATTGTGCCAGTAAACAGACTAGGAAGCATCTGCCCTGCCTTTCAATAGTGTAAACTTGACATTTCACCCCTGACAATTTCTGTTTTTAGCTCCTTCACCTTTAGTACTTACAGAAATGTTTCAACCACTAACTTGATGGGATTCAGCTCACAAAATGGCTGTCTCATCTCTAGTGACTGTCACGAGAGGTCTCCACACTTCATGGGGGAGCTCAGTGTTGCCCCCACCTTCAACAATCAAAGGCTGTCAAGGTGCAGTGGTGGGATGGAGCCTTCACAGGAATTTCCAGCAGCACTGCAGGAAAGGTGGGACCAAAACTGGTGGCTCCAACAATCCAGTCCAGGCCTCACTTCCATCTCCCTATCTCCAGTGAAACTCTAGATACAAACCAGAATCTGGGCTAAACGTGTGCTGTGACTGCTTTGTTTTGTGCCTGATGTGCTTGGTGCAGTACAGCAGTGGAAACAACCTCTCAAACACAGCCCTTCTTAAGCACCAAACCTGGGCATTAACTTGGTGTGATAATTCAGCAGCATTTGAACCACAAGTGCAGCGTGTGCACAGTTGTATCTCCATTTTCCCAGGTGACCATCGAGAGTCATTTTTACTTTTATTTTTGGCTGTTGACCTCGGACAGGATGCTCGAGCCAGAGGACAGGAGCAGTGAGTGCTCCCTCTGCTGTCTGTGGGCTTTCAGGTTCCCGGCTAATTTGGTCCCCACTCAGATTAAATGTTTTGCCAGGCAGGAGATGACTCTGGAAGCTGTTCAGCTTCCAGCAAAGAATGCATATCAAATATATTTATTGCTGTTAACATGCAAGGCCTAAGTCTCACAGCCCCCTGTGAGTGGCTCTGCTGGCTTCTGAGGCACTGCAGTCACAGCCTGTGTGTGAATGTGAATTCAGGTTTGGACTCAGCACAATATACCAATAAGGAGGGATGGATGTTGCAGTTTTGTATTCAGCAGAGGGTGGACTGGACTGGGGGACACATGCAAGTCATCTTTCCTGATGAGGTACCACCTGTGATGTGTCAACCCGTGGGAGGCCAGAGGAAATTAAGTGTTGTTCAATTTTGGGTAGACATCTTAGGTCTGTAAGGCAACTTGTTCTGTGGGCTTCTCTGGTTGTTTACTTCAGGCAGGTTTCCCCACTCTTAAAGGAGACAACTCAGTTGCCATTACCAGGCTACAGCACTTGATTCAGCATCAAGACAAAGGCCCTTAGGGAGATGCCAAGAAGTCAAGTGGGAATGGGGCAACCACAAAGGATTTTTAAAAGCCTTTAAGCAACTGAAGAGGAAAAGTGCCTCTAAATTACTCTGATTGTTGAGTTTATTAAGCTTATTACCCCAGGTCCTTATTTGTTCCGGTGTAGCCTGAAAACATTCTGGCCAGTTGAACTGGACAGTGCCTTGCCAGAGTGCTGTGACCAGCAGTTGCTGGGTGGCAACTCCTCCCTTTGCCTTGGACTCATGTGGCCTCTCACTTCATGTTTCTGAGGCCTCTTTTTTATTTTGGAGGGTCTTCCCCTTTGCCTGCTTGCTTTGTGTTTTGTTTTTTGTTTTCCCCCAGCACTGTCTCTATGCAGACCACATTCTGGAATTGTGCTCAGGAAGACATTCCTGTGTTTCTCTGCTGTAACATAATTGATCCTTTGTTACTGTATTTCAGGTGCCCCTGAAGGATGAGCAGCTGTGGTCAGGAGCAACAAGGTTTCCTGGCTGTGATTGTTCACTGGTCTGGCAACTCATAAAAGTGCTGTTTTTCTTCACCTCCGATGAAGTGCTAAACATGTCCCTGCATGCACAAGACACGGAGGCTCAACAAACCCAAAGGGCTCATTGTTAAACAAGGTAAGTCATCCTGAGAGGCTGGGCATTAGAGGGTTTTCAGTGCTTCCCTCTGTTTGTCAAGGACCAGACAGTGAGGTGGTGTGACAGCACAGTCCATAGCATGAAGGGAAAACACTGTGTTCCAGTTCTCTGCAAAGGCCCAAGAATAGCTGCCCCGGTGCTTCCTGTGTCTGCTTGATGCTGAACCATCAAAGAGACTTTCTGTGGGTTAAATTAAGCTTTCTACATTTAAGAAGGGAAATTATCTTAAATTTTTTGTTGTTGTTTTTAAGTTTGGCCCTTGCTTTACTAGCAGCTGTATACATTAAACACGCTAAAAAAGAATACAGTGTAAAAAAAAAATACTAGACAAAGGAAAAACAGAAGCAAGCACCAATTTGATCAAGTCTCTGAGTTCACCCAGACCATATGGAAGCTGTGAATTTTATGCAGGCAGCTGAGAGTCAAAATGGTAGTAATTTTAGAAGTTTTCTTTCAGTTTATGAAACTGAGAACATACTTATAGACCAAGCATAGGTGGATGAGGGAAGCTGAACAACTGGCAAACTGAGACAGGAGGAAAGAGGAGGATGCAGAGGTCTGAACAGGGAAGGGTTATTGCCTGGGACATGAATATTCTGTCTAATGCATAAGGAGATGGAAAGGTGAAGAAAGGCCACAGGCATATTAGTTACTTGCGAATTGCACTATGTCATTTCTCCCTCTGCCCAATTTTAGCCATTGTGTGGAGCAGGCAGCAATACATGTGCATCCTGCATCCATCCATCTTCATAATAGCTGGGTTAAATTGCACAATCTTTAGGAATATCATTTGCAGGCAGCTCTTATTGCTGTTCCCAGCCTCTTTCCAGTAATCTGTGGCTCCAGGGGCTGGGCACATTTTGAAACTGTGGTCAGTCAGAAGGTATTTTTATGCTGCTGCTTCTCTCACCTTTTTATTCTATTATCCTGCTAAATCACTGTGTTGTAAGTAAGCATTCTTCTAGGACTGGTAATTCAGGATTCTGTGATTCAACATTACTAGAGAATGGTTCTTTGTACCTGTAAGAAGTGAGGAATCTTTCCACTAAGATCTTGCTTCTAGCCTGGGGGAGAACTCCAAAAACTACAGCTTTGTGTACATAAAGCTTCCCAGGTAGTTTGGTAGTGGCTTGGTTTCTAAAGAGATCTTGCTAACAGTGGAAAATTACACTATGCTAGAAGGAGCTTTGAAGACCTGCAATATATGAAATTAAGCACATATCATGACCAGAGAAGCATGGGCCAGCAGATGGGATAGTTAGAGTATCATTTTTTGTACACTGCATGCAAGGTTCAAGTGAACCTCTGAAGTGTTGCAATTCCTCAGGACCTCAGCCTAACTGGATGTTGTTTTGCAATGCTGAGCAGCCCTTTGGTGTAATCGCTTCTTCCCTCCCAAAGCCTGAACATCTGGATTTATGGTGACAAGAGCAATCCAGCGAGGAAGGGCATGAGAAATGGTACCCCTGTGGATTAGAGGAGAGACTGGATATGGTCTGAGTCACAGCACATGTGAGAGACTCTCTGGCTTCCCCCAGCTGTCCCATCCCACAGTAACAGTACCACTGCTGCTCTCCTCTGTTGGGAACCACTGCTCACAGTAAAAACACCTCTCAAAGCCCCTTTGCCATCAGCAGTAAACGGTGATCCATCAGCCACTCTCAGTGGGAACTACTGATATTAACCTCTACCATTTCCCCTAATATCAGTTTATTCATTAACTTTCTGTGTTTTAGGTGCGTCTCTGTTAATTTTCGCCCACCACTGCCCACCTCTCTGAAGATGTACAACCTGTGTGCTACAGGATCATAAAAACTTTATAACTGGAGGGGATGCAGCAGGAATAGAGGTGAACACTGCCTCTTCCTGGGACAAATATGAATTTTGGTGCCTCTTGAAGGAGCTATATGGACCCTACTCACATAACTGCATCTCTTCTTGAAGTGCCTGGTAATGCCCTGCAGAGCGAGGGTGAGGAGGGGAAGGTGGATGGGTAGGGGAGCAAGTACGTGCTCTTGGCTGATCTTTCTGATTAACACAGGAGGAAGCTGTGCTAGGGGGCCTTCCCAGGGCACAGCCTGGCTTGATGGAGGCTTTTAAAAAAGACTTTATTTTACTGAGTTCCTGGAACTGAGCTGATGCTGGTGATTGTCGTTATTCCAGGACCAGGAGGAACTGAACTGAGTGCCAACATGTTTGTGAGTGACACGCTTGTGACTGCTTCCCATTGTGGAACAAAAGATGCAAAAGGTGAGCAAGCAGATAGTAAAACATCGATATGAAATTTTGCAGGCTCCCTTTTGCTCTGGAGACTGACTCAAGCAGAGAGTGTGTTGGGGGAAGATGTGTTGCAGCATCGCCTTTTGCCAAGTAGTGCCTTTTCTTCTGCTACCACTTGTTCTGCTACAATAATTCCTTTATTGTCCCTGGGTGCTGTGAATAGCCCATCTGATCAGTTAGAGATTGGATTTGGTAAGGATTTGATCTGGGCTAGCTGTGTCTGGGACAAGTGCTATCCCAGCTCTTTATCCCTGCATGCCCCAGTTATCCATCACACATCCCTGCCACACTTACTCATTCTTGTGCTCCTCTCACATCTGTAGGTGACCCGTGTTTTGCAGATGATCAGTCCAGGGACCGTGTGCTATGTTTTCCTCCTGTTCGTGTGACTCTGGGGATGTCTGTTCTCCCACAAATCCTGTGAAAATGTAGGATGTGAGGTAAGTGGTAATCTCCAGACATGCAAATGAAGTGGGCTACGTATTGTTTACAAAAACATTTATTTCTGGTGTGTAAAAAGAAGGGTCCTTTGTCCAGGGTCTTTCCCACCCAGACTTGCTTCTTGAAGAAACGCAAGAGCTAGTGCTAATATTGTTGCTAGTGATTAAGTATTCCCCCAGGAGATCCTACATATCTTTAATGTAAACTCGCTCATTTGTGTGCTGGCTGCCTCCCTCCCTGTCAGTGGTGCTTCCTCTGCTTCCCTCTCTCTCTTCTCCCATCTCCTTCTACCCCTACCAACTTGAAACAGCATCTTTTGAATAATCTTTGTTGACACAAGCTGCCTTAGTTGTAGTTGCTGCAGGGGTTGGGAAGGATCCTCAAGCAAAGAATGTTCAGTCCTTGGGGTCATGGAAACCAGCCAGGAATTTCTGCTCTCCCATTCCCAGGGGCATGAGGAGCCTTCAGAGGAAAACCAAAGGTGACCATTTCCTCAGTTTAAATGTCGTTGACCTGAATTGCAGATGTTTACCATGACTTTTTAAGATCAAGAGGGCAGTTTTGGAAATATGACTGGTATCTTGATGGAGGATCATTTCGAATTATAGAGTCCTATAAAACAATATAGGAAATTGTTATTTGAAAAGAAGAAAGCATCATCACTGTCTTTTTCAAACCTTTGGAGTTATTTTATTGCACTTGATACATGTGTGCAGCTTGTTCAGCGAGAGAGCTGGATATTAAATGGCCAGATATCATTTCTTGCAGGTATGAACACAGAATATCAAGATAGACTAGAACATTAGCTATGTGCTAACTGAGGAGAGTATGTTACTCAGAAGGAGAAAGGAGGTGACAGGGGGACTAAAGCTGCCTCTTTTCTGTAAGGGTGATATCTTAACAGCTCTCATGGGAGGAAGGACATGTTCAACCTAATAGGATAATGGAATAATATGTTGAACATATCAGCTTTGACACAGACCATCTGGTGGCTGTAGACACAAATAACCTAAGGAAAACAAATTTGAAATGTTTCAGGAAATGGCTATATGCATGCAGTGCACTGGGGGGGCAGGAGGGTGCCTGTGTGTAAAAGGAAAAAGATAAAAGCCCCTCTCTTTGGCTGCGGGAAGAGTGTCTCACTCATTCCTGGAAAGGACTGCATTCCATCCTTAATGATATTTGGCCCATAAATTTAGTACTGTCATCTCCTCTGGACCCACAGAACTCTTCACTGTGAGGTTGGACCAAAGGTCCAGTATGGAGTCTAGTTGGTAAACAGAAGAATCCCCCAAACCAAACAAAAAACCCCCCTTCCTACAGTTACTGTTAGAAATTTGCTCAGAAATTGCTGGTATGGAAACTATTGCTCAGCAGGAAAATTATCTCCACCAGTAGGTCATCCACAATCTCTTCCCTTCCTTCTTTCTGCTGACTTTGTGTTTCTAACCCATCCTGTCTTCTCATCTCTGTCAACTGGTTTAAATTCCAGTCTCCATAGACTGCTGGCTAGCAATGAAATGGTTAACATGGAGGGTTTTTTCTTTCTTTTTTTTTTTCCTTCATAAAGCCAGTTTTCCTGTTTTGGAGCCAGAGAGATGCTTGGGTGGAAGGTGATTATTCTTCTCAGGGCTTTGATTTCAGGCTCTCTGTGGACATCAGCAGATGCTATTTCAGCTGCTCCATTCTATTCACATGTGAAATATTTTCTTGAAAACGGGAAAAATAAGAATATACTTTTCTTTCTAGATGAAAGCTCAGATCCTGAACTGGAGCATGTGAGGCAAGCCACAGCCAGTTGGTGGATGATTGTATAACCCTATAGGCAATATGATCCTTTCAGTATGTCACTCAAGCCAAGAGTTACATCTTGTATCTTCAGGCAACATGTGAGTCTGTTCTGTGTGTACAGCCTGACTGGCCAGATTTCAGTATAATGTGATGGCCCAGAGTCCTCACTCTGGGTGCCTTCTGCTGTGGCTAAGAACAACATAACACAATAGACAGTATCAGTGATGGTAAACTGCTACTGAAAGATGCTGAAGACACCAAAGGTCTTGAAATGGCCAATCAATCCTTCCTTTCTCCCCTTAATCACTGCAGACCCCTCTTGCCCTGTGCTCTCTCTCTCTCTCTTTTGAAAGTCTGCTCATGCCATTACAGGTCCACGGACATTTGTATGGGCTCAGGAAGGATAGTAGAATGTGTTACACTCTTCCTAAATGCAGTTTCCTTCTTCCTTGTTTGCCAGCAGCACGTCAGCAGCAAGTATCACTTTCCTGTGCAGGAATGGCTTTAATAAAAGGTACACTTGTGAGATATACTCCATTGACGAGTTATTTCTGGCACAGACAGAGCTGGAAGGAAGTCAGCATTACATACAGACACTCTTTGGCCTGGGAAGGTCTGAGAACCCTTTAAATACTTGGCTCAGAAATGGCTCTTTTCCTTTTATCTAGGAGATTTTTCCTTTCCTGTTAAGTTAATTAAACTTCTGTTTTGTCTTCCTCATGCCCTTTTGCCAGCATCTAGCCTGTTCATGAAGACACTGGTTCAATAACCATCATTTATAGTGTCAAGCTTAGGTTACTACTGTTTGTTTGCCAAGTGCAGCTGCAACCGTCTGCCCAAATTCACATGTTGCTGTGAGCCAGAGATATTGGCCTCCACTACACAAACGTGCCATTGAGGCCTCACAGCATCCCCTCCATGAGCTGTCCTTAAAAGATGGCAAGCTTTGTTGTCTTCCCACTTCTCTGAAAAAAGGGCTTGTTTACACTGGACAACTGATTTGAGTTGCAGTGGAGTCTGCAGTTCAAGTGAGATATTACTTCTGGTTAGCACCCTGTAAGATTATTCTCACTGTGGAATAAAAGTATGTCACTCAAAAATAAATTCTAAAGCAGATCATGTTATTCTGAAGCAGAAGTTTCCAGGCTGGGTATCAATCTAAGTCCCTGTGTATAAAAGCCCTGAGTGCCTGACATCCTGAGAGACCGAGTGTCTGGGGGTATGGATCAGACCACTGGGCAAATTCAGCTGAAGGGTTGAAGCCCCTTTCCCACTTCTTAGCATAAAACTATGCTCCCATATCATGTTGCAGCAGAGGGATGCCATAGATGCTCCCTTTTTTCTTCCCTTCCCTGCCACCCCTGTCACTGTGCAGCCCTAGTTCCCACTAGCCAGTGGGAGCTGTGAGTTGAATGGCTTTGGTGAGAGACTAATGGGGAAGCATTTTAATATGGAGAATGTTCTGTGAGGACCTTTTAAACAGTGCCTGTATGAGAGATCTAGCAGGTTTTCCATAATAATTCCAGTGGTGGGAAGGGTCTCATCCTTTGTGAGAGACAAGCCTTATTATAATTTCCTCATTCTCTGCTTGAATGCCTTCCCAGAAAAGCAAGGTGTTGATTGTTAATGGATGTTGCTGTTCCTTTTGTGCTGTCAAGTGTAAAACTAAAGATTAATGTATCCCTTTATTGACTGTTGCATGCAGGTTTTAACCTGCCTGAAGAATATTCAGTGCCTATCCTAGAAGTTACCCACCAGGCATTCAGTGGGCAAGCTATGGAAACAAACCTCTTCAAGCTCCTTGTTGAGTTTCTTTGAACATCATCAAACCCCAACCCATACAACTGAGAGCCAGAGTGGTGTACTGAATCCTTTAATACCACTTTGCCACTGGCCAAGCTGTTAGCCAAAGCTCTCACCTAGAAAACAATGGGTTCGGGGCCATCTAATGAGCCCCCTGGGAATAATTTGCAGTTTTTTGGATGAAATAATTTTTCAGTGACTTTTTTCCCCTTAAGGGCAATATAGGGCTCTTATAATCTGCATTTGTTTTTAACTTGGATGTCTCTGAAGTAGCTGTTTGGGATTACCTTGCAGTCAGGTCTTTTATAGAGGATTAAATGATTGAAAGTTGTCCTTTTTAGAATTTCAAATAAGCTCCCATTACTTCCTATATGATATCTCTATCAAACCTATCAAATGCTTTTCTAAAGTTCATAGAATTCACATAGAGCTTCTACTCAGAGGGGAAATCCTTGAGGATTTTGAAGTTAGCCTTGTGATAAATTCAAGCCTGTCTTTCCCAAAATCAGATTATTCAGTTCCAACTTAGATGTTTGCTAATTCCATTCTCTAACTATGTTCTTGCCAGGAATTCGGCAGTATAGAAACATGTTCCAGACTCTGCCTCATCTCTCCAGGTCTTACACTTTGAAATATCTAAATTCTGCAAGGATTGAAACAAAAGATCTTTCTCCTACTATGAGGGGAGGGACATCTTCCTCTTCCCAGATTATACCTAAAATTCATTCATTTTGGTATAGACTACTACCCCCTTTGATGAAGGATTAGAACACTATTTATAGTAGGTGCCTAAAGACCGGGCTTCCTGAACCCGTGGAAAACAAATGCGCCAGATTTTATTCTTTTGTTCTTTTAATAAACTGTCCGTGAGATTCTTCCCCTCCCCTCCTTTCCTGCTGGTTTACTTGCATTCTTATATGTTCAGTGTTTTTCTCTTCTGTCTTTGTTCCAGTTTATCAGCAATTTACACACAGTTGTTTCCCAGACTCCACGATTTCAACAGCAAAAATAACACTGACCTTTTGAGCCCATGAGCAATCTCGTTGGTGGTAATTTAGCAGAAAGTTACAGTAATGAACAAGAACTCTGCTCTTAAATGTTAGATCACTAAATGTGTTTTATGAGTGTTTATTACTTCTTTAATGCACTTCCTGTGCACCAGGGAGACAGCCATATTCCAGGGAAGGATGAAGTTTTTAATTGGCGAAAGTGGCCAATTTGTGAATCTATTCTGCTTTAAAGATACATTTTCAGGTGTGATTTAGTCAGAGCAATCAAGGGGAATGTTTCTAGCTAGAAAGACAACAGTGCAAACAACAGAAGGGCTCTTACAAAGATACCTTAACTCTTTGAAAACTGTG